AAAAGCAAATAACCCAGTGAAGAAATGGGCAGAAAACATGAATAGACACTTCTCTAAAGAAGACATCCGGATGGCCAACAGGCACATGAAAAGATGTTCAGCGTCGCTCCTTATCAGGGAAATACAAATCAAAACCACACTCAGGTATCACCTCACGCCAGTCAGAGTGGCCAAAATGAACAAATCAGGAGACTATAGATGCTGGAGAGGATGTGGAGAAACGGGAACCCTCTTGCACTGTTGGTGGGAATGCAAATTGGTGCAGCCGCTCTGAAAAGCAGTGTGGAGGTTCCTCAGAAAATTAAAAATAGACCTACCCTATGACCCAGCAATAGCACTGCTAGGAATTTATCCAAGGGACACAGGAGTACTGATGCATAGGGGCACTTGTACCCCAATGTTCATAGCAGCACTCTCAACAATAGCCAAATTATGGAAAGAGCCTAAATGTCCATCAACTGATGAATGGATAAAGAAATTGTGGTTTATATACACTATGGAATACTACGTGGCAATGAGAAAAAATGAAATATGGCCTTTTGTAGCAACGTGGATGGAACTGGAGAGTGTGATGCTAAGTGAAATAAGCCATACAGGGAAAGACAGATACCATATGGTTTCACTCTTATGTGGATCCTGAGAAACTCGACAGGAACCCATGGGGGAGGGGAAGGAAAAAAAAAAAAAAAAGAGGTTAGAGTGGGAGAGAGCCAAAGCATAAGAGACTGTTGAGAACTGAGAGCAAACTGAGGGTTGATGGGGGGTGGGAGGGAGGAGAGGGTGGGTGATGGGTATTGAGGAGGGCACCTTTTGGGATGAGCACTGGGTGTTGTATGGAAACCAATTTGACAATAAATTTCATATATAAATAAAAAAAAAAAAAGAAATGGGGAGGAGTCTTGTGAGACTAAGCCGTTAACCTATGGGGACTGTGCTAAACCCAGTTAGTGTCAGAAGTGACTGAAATTGTATGACACCAAGCTGGCATCACAGAGAATTTCTTGGTGTGGAAACAAAACAAAACAAAACAAAAAAAACCCCCATATATCTAGTGTAGGAAGTGCCGGGAGCGTGGTACTTCTGTAAGAGTGCAGAAGAAACACAGGGGAAGTGAGTTTTTCCTTTGCATTTACTTCAGTCTTTTTCCAGTTATTCAAACCTAACTATTCTTCAAATTATGAATTTTGTAATCACTTCCTTCATGAAGTCTGCCCTGACTACCTTTGGGTATGAGGAAAGAGTGTGGAGTGGAATGGTTTCAGAAGGCTTTCTTGAGTATCAGCTGGAAGCTTTGCCCTTGCATCAGTGACACAATTCTGCACCCTTGTTATTCTTCTTTTTTTAAATCCCTGAAGTAAGTCCATGCGGAGTTCTATTATTCGCTGTCAAAGAGGTTCAAATGAGAGATGTGGCAAGTACCACATTTGATGATTGTTTTATACTGTCCTCAATACTCATGATGTAGTGTGTACAGCAGAAATGCTCAAGAAATATTAAGATCTGCTCTGTCCAATGTAGTTGCCACTAACCACATGGGGCTTTGGGGTACTGAAATGTGACTAGTATGGACTGAAATGTGCTAAGTATAAAACATAGACACACACCACAAGATTTCAAAAAACAGTGTAAACTATCAATGTGTTCTATACTGATACATAATGAAATAATATTTAAATAGATAAATATTTAAATAAACATTAAAATTATTTTAACATGTTTCTTTTTATCCTTTTAATGTATTTACCAGAAAATTTAAAATTACATGTGTTGTTCACATGAAATTGCACTAGACAGCATCAATTTAAAATGACTTTTTTAAAAATCAGAAAACATGGGAGGGAAAATTCCTATTTCTCAGAATTTTTAGGAACTTACAGGAAAATTTAAAGTTGTATTGTATATATTTAGAATGCCTTTGGGTACCTAGAAATTGATATTTTAGAGAGTGTTTTCTGAGAACTTCTGTTTATGATATATGATATACGATATATGAGCTTAGATCCATTCTTAGCTATGTTATTCTTCTCAGATATATAATTATATTTAAGTTAACAACCATTAGAAAATACCAGAAAATAAAACATTATTGCTCAATCATATGTACTCTACACCAAATCTTTAGTGATTGAAAGTTGAAGGCAGAAACAGGATTATTTTATTTCATTTTGCTTCAATCACTGAAAAAAATTAATGTATTTGAATGCAATTCGCTTTAATCTTCAGGCTTGAGAACACGATCAATTATTTCTGTTACAAGTTATTTCAAATAACATAGTTTTTTAAATTTCAACATAACTAAGTTTAAAAGTTAAATTTCTGTCAGAGGGTTTAGTATGAAATGACTCAGTCTCTGAACACATTAAAAGTATAAATATTTTATGAGTTTCAGCTGGAAATTTATACTGCATGCCAAAGAGAATTTATCACCAATACAAGCAGTACTTACTTGATACTCTTGCAGGTTTTTCTGCTAAAAAAAAAAAAAAGGAAGAAAAAAAAGTTTTGTTTAACTCAGATAAAATGCAAAGAAATTATACTTTGATGGACTACATGAAAGTATCTCACATCTTTTGACTTTCTTATTGCTTAATGTAATGTAAGAATATAACTATTTTCTGAGAACATGGGTCTTTGAGTGTATTAATTATTTTTATGTGAAATATAATAAAAGCTCTTAATTATTATAGATGTTACAACATGTTTGCATTTTAAACGCTTACTAAAATCAGCAGGATTCTTGTTAAATTAAGTGTTTTGGTTCAATTTTAATTATAACTAAGTTGAATAAAATTACTTTGTATGATGTAATTAATGTAAATATTTGTTTAAAGTTTCCAAATTCCATAAAATGTATCATTAAGAATTATTTTCCTTTCGGGGCGCCTGGGTGGCGCAGTCGGTTAAGCGTCCGACTTCAGCCAGGTCACGATCTCGCGGTCCGTGAGTTCGAGCCCCGCGTCGGGCTCTGGGCTGATGGCTCGGAGCCTGGAGCCTGTTTCCGATTCTGTGTCTCCCTCTCTCTCTGCCCCTCCCCCGTTCATGCTGTGTCTCTCTCTGTCCCAAAAATAAATAAAAAACGTTGAAAAAAAAAAAAGAATTATTTTCCTTTCAAAGGTAATAATGATGAATAACTAAACCTTAAAAAGCAACATGCAAAATCAGTTTAATTTTTCATAACCATTTGTCTAGTTTCAACGAGAGACTATAATTCTTCAAAGTAGTATCTTTTTACATTAAAGTGTATGTATGTAGGACAAAAATATAAAGTGAGATGATTGTCCCAAATACCAAATACTGTAACAGATATTCTAACTTCTTGGAAAGAAAAAAAAGATTGGTAACATCTACATTGTACTAACGTTAGTCTATTTTTTTTTTTTCTTAGTATAGTGGATACATAATCTTACAAGTTTCAGGTGTATAACTTGCTGATTTGACAAGTTTATAATTATGCTGTGTTCATCACAAGTATAGCTACCATCCCAACATTAGTCTAATTTAAAGGGCCAGACTTGAAAACATAAATTTTTAAAGGAATCTGCATTATATGATTTACTTTGAGACTTGCAGAATTTTTAGTATAAATCTAGGGATTATAAATTTACAGAAAGTGGTTAATGCCAATAGAAAGGTTTTTAGAAAAATTTTTTTCATTTGAGATACTTATGGTTTTAGTTATGTTACAGCTGCATACCTCATGTATTCAAAACACAAAATAATTTAGAAAAAATACTTCAGTAAGGCTCATGTGTTATTATTTTTCCTTTAAAAATACTATCACTGACTAAAAGACAGGAACTTAAAAAGGAGTACAGTAAACATTTACTGAAATACAATGAATTATCTGTTGGATGAAGGAATGAATAAGAATCAACAGGCTCCAGGTTAGTCTTGTGCTTTCATATATAATAATTTGTCCCTACTGTGTTTTCATAATATCAAGATCTTGGAAATGATGGACTCACACAGTGGGGTAAGAAGGGAGTTACCACTCTCTTGGAAACATTTTTTCCTCTAGGGATACATTTTTTCTTTGGGCTGCCCTGATTCCTGTATATGCCACAGTGTGATAGGGTAGGGAAGTGGGATCGAATGGATTTAACCATTAAGTCTTTGGCGTCATATTTACTTTGAGCCAGATCCTGTCTCTACCAGGTAAACACTCTGAGATGTTAGATGTTCCTTTATCGCATTTACCTTATCTTTAAATTGGGCATATTTGGGCCTGTTCTAAGGATTAAATGAACTAATAGGATTCGTTAGGAAAGGATGTACCAGTGGGTTTTTTAAATAACATATCTTCTCATTCTTCTGGCTAATTATCCTAAAAAATGCTAGGCAATATTTTAAAAGTTAAGAAAGTTGAGATATAAAATTTATGGCCCTTTATGCTTATACATAAGCATAATGTTCTTAATCTGAATTTTACCATCTAGTATGACTGATAATTATATGTCTAAATTACTAATGACTATATGTCTAAATTTTATATGTAGCTATGTCCTTTCAGTACATCATTTCAGGCGTACATAATACACTAAGCAGAAAGAAGGAACCAGTAAAAAACAACACTCATTTCCTCTCTCCACACACTGGAGATGTATATATTTGCTATGAATGAAAATAATTGTTCAGTTATGGCATGTTTACTTAGCACCTTAAAATTTAAAATATTTAAATACCATTACCTTTTGAGTTAATTAGATTTTTTAATTATATTTTTTATTTATTTTTATTTTTTTAAATTCTTTTTCTTTTAATGTTTATTTTTGAGAGAGAGAGAGAAAAAGAACACGAGTAGGGGAGGAGCAGAGAGAGAGGGAGACACAGGATCTGATGCAGGCTCCAGGCTCTGAGCTGTCAGCACAGAGCCTGACGTGGGGCTTGAACTCCCCAGCCGCGAGATCATGACCTGAGCCGATGTCGGACACTCAACCAACTGAGCCACCCAGGTACCCCGGGTTAATTAGATTTTTAAAAATTATATCACTCAGATTGCATAATTCAGTTATAACATCCATTTGTAGTTTTTTGATGATCAAACCACCAAAACATGTCGTTCTTATTTTAGGTAAAAGACATCTCTGTTCCATGTGCATGCTGGCATTTTCCCTCCACCATCCACTTCTTGAATTAATTTAAAGAGCCAAGTTTAGGTAATAAAAAGGTATTTATCATTTTGGCTGTATTTATGTAATACATAAAATAATTCTTACTCTATCTATTTTTACCACTATATCATTTTTGACCTTATGCATGTTACTAAAGTCTTTTGTAATAGAGAAATATATCTTCTGGTATGTACTAGAATATTCTATTGAATGTTTATGTTGTTAATAGTTTCGATTTCTTTACGTTGGCTAGTTTTACACTGAAATGTAAACTCCCTGCTAGATTCCCCACCTCTCCACTTCTGCTAATAGCAGAAGTGTATAGCTGCTAGACTTCTTTGCTTTAAAAAATTTAGTGTTAAGTGCAAACATAATTTAGGCACCTCCATACTAACTTAGCAATTGAATATTTACAAAGTTGATTGAAGATTACCTTTTGTCACATTGTGTGATTGAAGACTTTCTTTTCTTGTTGAGACTGTTGATAAGGAAAATGTAAATTAAACTACGAATTTTTAAAGGGAATTTTCATAAAAATTTTGGCTCACTTCAACCAAGCTTTGGAAAAATGGAAATATTTAAATGTTGTAAATATTTTCTCAGTATGATTTAAAAATTTTTTCTCTTCTAACATCTAACAAAAATAAACGTCACCGGTAGAGATTGTTTTGTTTGCATAAACAGGGATATAACATGATTGCACTGATTACAGTATTTAACTAGAATCTGTGAACAATTGGTCATCCTGAGTAACTGAAATTGAGGATAAACTAAAAAACAAAAGAAAACATCTGTTTTCTTTCATAATTAACAATCTTTTCGATATGTCTAAGAATGCTTTCTTCTTGATCCAATAGAATATTTCTCTGGTAATTAAGGTCTTTGCAAGTTTTTTCAGATACCTGCATTGAAAATCAGTGATTATAATATTATCTTTTATCGTTTACAAATAAATACACCCAATGTTAAGAAAAATAGCAACTTTGTGATGCAGCTTCTAGACTTGTTGCTCACCGATGGTGCAACACATATTTGTTGGGACTGGCCTGCCATCCACTGTTCCTTTGCCATGGCCGTTACCACATATCCACTGATTATTTTCCACATTTCTTTTTTAAATGACCTTAAATTTAAATGACCTAAAATAAAATGACTTTATTTTAAAGTGATATAAATAATCCTCAACTCAAATACTTTTGCTTCAGGGCTTTGCATTTCACTTTTCAATCTTGTAAAAAATTACCTTTTTCTTCTTTATGATGTTTCATTTCTGTTTTTTCTGTAGAAAAAAATGAAGGTAATTTTGAATCATATATCACATTTATTCATAGGTCTTCCTAAGGTTTGGAATTAAATTTTGTGTAGTTAATATTCACACTTCAGGTATTATATGAAAAGAATTCTATGGTATTAATTTAGAAATAGCAGAACCTAAATTTCTCTCTTTTTGCATATGTAATAATAAGTGATATCTACACCTCTTGCATGGAAAATCCTATAGTGAATTGTAATTCTGATATATGCTTTAAAATCGCTGCCCACATTTTCATGAATTGCTTTTAAGTGGCATAATTTATATAATTCTGTGTTTTTTTTTATTTCTGTGCTTTTATTATTAATTTGGTGTATATGTCTTTAAATGTCATCTTTACCTTTACTTTCTTTTTCAGGTTTTTCAATTTTCTTCTTCCCTAGGAGGGAAAATATAATAACAAGAAATTATCAGTTTAAAAAACATGAGTTTCTTACTCAATCTTGAAGTAAACAGTTGGAGATAGGACTTAATCCCATAAGTGTAGGGGGTTAGGGCTCTGCTTTTGCAAGATGTGAAGCAAGAGGGTACCTCCCATGTGTGAGAACATAGGTATTTTTGTTATGCTTATTTAGCTTGTATTCAGTCACCTGTATGGCAGAGCCCCTTCCCTTTTTCTTTTTGTCTTTTTTTTAAATGTACTTTGAAGTAGAGTTAAAGCAAGCCATTCATTATTAAATGTTAACTAGTAACAACAGGAAAAAACATCTGAATTTTCAACTGTTTTCTTAAGGAAATGAGTATTTGACTGGTGCTATGGGTGCTCAATAAATAAAACAATGGATTGAAAACAATGAGAGTCAAAAAATATCTCCAAACCAAAAGTGGACACAGGCTTTTCAAAACACTTTTGGTTGATGATTTTCTTCAACTATATTTATCAGACAAAAGTGAGAAGAAAATCAATATGTAATGAGTGACAAGTAATTATGTAGTGGGAATGTTGCATATGTTTCTTATTTAATACTTAACTGTTGTAAGCCTTTTGGGAAGCCATTTTGCCTGTTTCATAGGTGAGGAAACCAGGAAGCTGAACTGGGTAAGGGATTTTCCTAAATGTTACACAGCTAGATAAAGATAAATTTACATACAGATCTGTTTCAACTGATCTATATTACCTCCTTTGGGAAAGTAAATATTTACCTGATTCTATGATTTCTGATGTTTCTTCTTTAGAAAAAAAGAAGAATACATAGAAAAAGAAAGGGAAAGAATAATTTTATATTTCAGTAGCATACAACTGAGCTTTACCTCCAGGTATATCCTATTAAATTCCACCGGTAATGACAATAAACACATATACTTAAAATGGCAAAGAAACACACTGGTAACTAATATCTCTGAAAACTATAACTAGAAATCTATTTTGAAATTAGAATTACTCTACAGATGAATCTAAAACAGTCTAATTCTATATAGTAGAATGAATCACTTTGAAGTCCTTTGCTTAGTTTTCTTAATTACAAATTATACAGCTCTGTTTCACAAACTTTTAACTTGATCTTCATACATACGTGCATGCATTTATTCACTGAATATTTATAAAGCCACTACACATATAAGAAGTTATACTAAATGTAATAGGTGGGGTCGTGGGATGAGACTGAAAAACATCTCAGAAATAAATTCAGCTCATGGTGACTATTGTCAGAGTAGTGAGACAAGAAACAAAATGCTACTTGTCTTTATGATAATATAGAACCAGGCTTTCTTTTTGTTCTTTCAGCTATTTCATAGACCAATAATATTTTAAAATATAACATGGCAAGTTTTTAAAATATATTTTTCCTCACAATTCATTTAAAGTGATAACATTTTCTATAAACCTGATACATTTGATTTTGTCTTCCATAACTTTTCTGGAAGCTATATTAAAAATTCAAGAAAAATTGATTAACATATTTTATAATAATGAAGATGAAAGATGAATAATGAGTCATAAACAAAACAGTATTTACAAGGGATTATGGTGATATATTAGCATTCTAGTTTTGACTTTCAACTGTTAAATTTTACAATACTCTTTACATCCATAGAAATAATAAAAACTAGATGTGCTAAAGATTTTCTCCAACTCAAAGGCAACATTTGATATTTTAACATAAAATTCATTTATAAGAAAATTGTTGCTGCATTTGTAAGGAATCGGTCATGATACTTTTAAGGAACCAAGCTATTCCTTGGCATTTCAAAACTTTAGATATAGCTGCTAGATTGAAATGCACAGATTTTTACTCCAGGTTAAAGTCTGGGTCATGATTTAATACATAATGATTTCATTTTTATGAAATTACACAAAACATAAATTTTCAAAACTGTATTAACTGTTATATTCGTATTATTTCTTGGAATGTCAAAATAAAACAGTGATTCTGAAACTAAAAACAATTCACCTTCAGGCTTTCAAAAAGTAAGATAATCAAAGGCTCATGTACTTAAAATTAAATAATTGGAGACAGGTATTATGTGTTCTAAATTTTCCGAACTCAGAAGCAACTATTAGAGGGATCTCCATACTGTGTTTACTCAATACATCCTCACAAACAAAAGGAAGTACATAAAAGAAAGACCCAACCACTATTTTCCACACAGGCATTATTATGGTAAATGTATTAATTACACAGGCATGACAACAGAAAACATTGTAGGCATTCTCTCACATATCCTGGTATAGTGTGCTAATAGGTGCCCAATAAAGACATGTTCAAGGATAAATGAACACAACATACACATTATTCTTTGTCAATCAGAATCTTTGTCAATCACCAGATTTACATAGGTGATCGCATAATGACTATCGCCTTAATAAACATACCATCCTTTCTCTGCTGCATATAAACTCCAAGGGTTATAAAATTAAAATAATCAAATAGCAAATTTTTAATTTTAACATTCTACACTTACTTGTAGTTGGTTTGGGTTTGTCTAAAAAGTAAAGAAGAAAAGAAAACCAGTGGTCAATTTCCACCCATAGGTAAAATATCAGTCATTTATATTCTTATGTCTGTCTGAGTTAAAATAGGAATAGGCTAAACTTATATTAAAATAAGCAATATAAAATGCCTTTTGAGGAATTTTAAAGTTATATTCCTAATGAATTCTCTGTAGAAGAGATTGTACAGCTTTCAAATATAGAATCCTCTTGGTCTCTCTTTATCCCTATAAAACCTCATGTTTGATTTGATGCAATATGAATGCTCACAAAAATTTGAATGCCTTACTATTTCTAAATAGCATAAAATGCATATTACACCATCATCTTTGCAGAATACATGTTAACTTTAATTCATATTAACTATCTAAGTCCCCCAATACAGCATTTTAAATGAAGAAACTGATTTTATAAAATCTCAGGGGGAATAAATGAGTGATAGATGAAAACCACAAAACTATACCATCCAAATACATGACTTCTTTCTCCAGTATTCCTTGTCTTCTGAAACTGTTAACTAAAAACATTACACAGTCATACACCTAAAGATCGATTTATTTATAAAAAAAATTACAGCATGTGGTCATGACTGTGAACAATTCAAATCACTCAAAATTGGGTCAACTAATTCTAATTCATTAACTGTGGGAATATAAATTGATACAACTTATATCAGAGAACAATTAGAATTATCTATAAAAATTACATTGTATATACCATTTCACTAAAACACTTTAAGAAATTTTACTCCAAAGGTAAAGTAACAAAACTGGACTGGTATATATATAGATATATATATAGATATATATAATTGTTCTC